GGTACTAGTGAGATGGATCGAGGCCGTGTCCAAAGACAAGGGTCCAAAGTGGGCCTTTGTCAGTTTCCACATCGTCATGGTGCTAACAAATCTTTTATTTTTATGCTTTGTAAAACTTAGGCCACCCCCTCCCCCCCCCCCCCCCGGGCAGTGCTACGACTGAAGTGTCTTTAGGCCATTCCCAAAGGGGGGATATTAACATGTTCTTATGCACAGTAAAATTGTAAATGGGCTGATTTATCAATGGTATGTTCTTACTGTGCCGGAACAGCATAGAGGCAACTGCTGCTTTTTCTTTTCTCATCCTTACTGTTGTCATTTATTTTCTACTTCTTTTGTATGTTTGTGCTGTTGAGGCTAGAGAGATGACCAGTGTAAGCCTGGTTCCCCGTGTGGACTTTTTTGTTGACATCCACCACTTGGCGCTCATAATTATGACCTTATGCGGTTGCAAGCGCCGGAAAACCTTACTAAAACAAAGACATAGGAGGCCAAACAAGCGTTAGCTCGTGTAAAAATATCATAAAGTCTCCCCGACATGTGTTCTTGCAATCTGTACAAAAAGCTGTCACTAAGTAGGTGAAATGGCCTAATTGAAGCCTTCAAAAGACATTGCCTCTGATCGTTATGTGTTCATGGTTTGCCACGCTGTTGAGGGGAGATTCTGGGAGTAGGAACCTCTAAAGTGACACCTCACGTCTGTCTCTCTTTTCATCAAGGAGCGATATGTATTTATTCAATCGATCATTCTGCTGCTAATTCGGATACAGGTATTGGATTTTTTTTTCTCGAGGAAACCGGGCCCAGATTTTGGGAGAAAAACTGTCTGTACAAATATTTGCCTTTGTTTTTGGAAACAAATAGATTCAGGAGAGGAACAAGAAGGAGAACAATAAAGAACGTTAAGAAAACTGACTTTGGTTGTCCTAAAAAAACAAAAACAAACAAACAACAAATCAATAACGACAAACAAACAAAAGCACAAAAAATGATAACTCCAGTGCTCGAGATCTATGAATATATAATAATGTGTGTTATTATTAATGTTATCATTCTTAGACTTGCTTTGAACATACTTAGCGCTCATATGACCATATGCGGTTG